GTATATGCCTCTCATCTCACTGGCTGGGATCCGGTACAGTAATGTTTTAATGGAGACCTAGGTGTGAAGATAATTGCTTTGGACTCGGGATGCAGAGAGCCAAGACGTTCGGTCCAGATTTAGAATCTCTTTGTGAGGGAGTCGCTTGTGAGCGTAGTTACATAAGAACAGTCAGTACAGTGTTATGCGATGGAGCACGAATGTTTATAAAACATAGGTATGGCGGTGCCCATTGTAGATTTAAACTACGGCGAGCGTGCACAGGCCTGATGAGAGAGGGGTGGATGACCGGGGGGGCAGGCAGGCCAAGTGGTACCAAAATCAACGGAGGTCCCCCCCCACCCCAATATTTATTGGAGAAAAAAAAAATCTCAATTATCTAATTTACACAGGATGGGAATGGGGAAGGCCTCTGGCCATCTATGAAAAAAAATAATTGAAGAGCTTCATAGCTCATCCGATTCCTCCTGTCTAAATACAGATTCAGATTCAACATTACATATAAGGGGCCCCCCATTTTTCTCTCAAAGGGGCCTGAATGTATGCAAATGTGTATACAGTACTCTGCACGTACACATAAAATGTGTTCGCTTACTGGGAAGAGTTCTGTATAATATACAGTAGTTAATAGCGTATATCTTACATGCACATACATCAATGCATCACACACACACGCGCGCGTGTGTGTGTGTGTGTGACATACATACAGATAACCCCATTGAGCTCCGTGCAAGGGGGCGCTTATTGAGACACATTGTGAAAGAACGTGTGCTGGACACACAGTGCGTCTTACTATAAACGAATGTGTGTACCGTGTAGAAATATAATAACAATAATGGGGGAGAAAAAATATGTTTCTGCCCTTTCTCAATCCACCGTTGGAGGTCAGTTGTGGATGTTGCTTGACCATACTTCACCACGCCGGTCCGTGCCGATTGGCGTAGTGGGGGGCGAGGGCGTCCAGGACCGACCAGAGATCTCTCGCCACTGATGTTAGCCGTGAATAGCCCCCAAACCCCACCGACCACTTCACCGTCTGGCACCGACCAGCGTGGAGAGGTCAACATGGAGAGGGATGGGTCAGTCAAAGAATCACCGCCACGACAGCTGACAAGACGACAAATGGCTGTAAATGAAATCGGTCACACAATCATAAATAGTAATATACATTGTGTGTGTATATATAAACACACACACACTGCCAGGAATGTTAATGGACATAACTAAATTCAGATGAAAGGCCCCTTGAGTGAGAAATGTGGTCATTATTCACGAGCCATCTTTTATTCACGTAGGCTAATAGCAACGATGAGCGTTCGTACAAGGTCTTACACGTAGCGTCCATCTATAAGATTTCAAATAAATCTACGAGCACCTTCATTCAGCAGTGAGATTGACATCACATTCCTAGAGTAAAATCGCGTGTAACGAGGAGAGAGAGCAAGATTGCCGATTTCAATGGGCTATGCGATTATCATTAACGGCCATCTCTATGTACGTAGTCTGTGCGCGTTTACAATCCTGCAGTGCAAATGATAAGAGGTCCGTAACCGGCAGCACTGTGTACACATTTGCCCCAATGCCAATCCACTGCTCGACGAGGTGTATCTCATCACACCTCGTTAGGATCACCGAGCTGGTAAATTAAGTGTGGCACACACATACGTGTCAAAGACTTGGGAGCATGGAAGCAGCGTGCGGTACAATACAACAATGGATTTTCACCGCACTGCCCTCTGTCGACCAGGGCATCTGTGGAGTTGTGGCCCAAACCACCCAAGGACTATCCCACCTGCCAAAGCTTCAGGAGATCTGACAAGACCGGCACGCGTTCCAGACAGCTTTGCTTGTACTGGAAGTACGCATTAACAGAAGCACACACACACATCAATGTTGTAGTGTACACACAATGCCGCTGACGTTCTTGATTCATCATTACATGCCTCCATGCATAGCCATCGTCTAGAGGACCGATACACACACACACTGCCACGTTACGATATAGCACACATCTCGATACAATAACCGCACCGGCTACAACTATGTTTGTGCATACTTCACCACATTCGGTCAGTGCTGGATGGGACGTGATAACCCACTGCGCCACCCACTCCACCTCCTTGCCACCCGAGGTGCCATCAAACACATGAATGAAACACACGTACACAGCACGCGTTCCACAACAACAACAACATCAGCATCATCCTGAAGCCACCGGCACAATAGATTGGTTATAATCGGTAGTCTGCACGTGTGCGTGTGTATATCGAGTAGTGGAGGATGCGATGGAGCGAGAACGACTTCCCTGTTCGATTCCCGCTCACGGGCTCTCTGAGCCGGTGCCGGTCCTCCCCTAGGTCGACTCGGCCTCAAATGAGTACCTGGCGCGACAAAGGCGGTCGGGCGTGGCGTTTCGCCAGTCACCGGCCTTCATAGGTGCTGCTCGCTAGCAGCACTTGCCCCGACAGGCTATACGGGGGACATTTGTCTTTGTACTCAAACACACACAGCCTACACCACATCTCCTTACACCGGAAACAAAGCATGCACTGCTACTCACTATACGACGTGTGGTGCTTCTATGCGTGTACGCATGGCACACGTGCGTTAACGTTTAGTATATTGTGCACACACACGTGCAGACACACGTACGTGCAGACACACGTACGTGCACACACACGTACGTGCACACACACGTACGTGCACACACACACACGTACGTGCAGACACACACACACGCACGTGCAGACACACACACACGCACGTGCAGACACACACACACGCACGTGCAGACACACACACACGCACGTGCAGACACACACACACACACGTGCAGACACACACAAAGATCCCCCGTATAGCCTTAACAGACTGTAGGGGCAAGTGCTGTTAGCGAGCACCTATGAAGGCCAGAACGGTACACGAGGGGGTGGGTGGCCAGCACCACGCCCGACCGCCTTTGTCTCCCTAGTGGCGATGTTTACACACCGCAGCAGGTACTCATTTAAGGCTGAGTCGACCTAGGGGAGGCCCAGGACCGGTTCAGATAATCGTCACTGGTGTTAGCCGTGAGCGGGAATCGAACCCGGGTCGCCAAGTTCGTAGTGCAGTGCGCTAACCACTACACTACCGCACACACAGACACACACACATACGTGCAGACACACACACACACATACGTGCAGACACACACACACACATACGTGCAGACACACACACACACATACGTGCAGACACGCACACACACATACGTGCAGACACACACACACACATACGTGCAGACACACACACACACATACGTGCAGACACACACACACACATACGTGCAGACACACACACACACATACGTGCAGACACACACACACACATACGTGCAGACACACACACACACACATACGTGCAGACACACACACACACACATACGTGCAGACACACACACACACACATACGTGCAGACACACACACACACATACGTGCAGACACACACACACACATACGTGCAGACACACACACACACATACGTGCAGACACACACACACACATACGTGCAGACACACACACACACATACGTGCAGACACACACACACACATACGTGCAGACACACACACACACATACGTGCAGACACACACACACACATACGTGCAGACACACACACACACACATACGTGCAGACACACACACACACACACATACGTGCAGACACACACACACACACACATACGTGCAGACACACACACACACACACATACGTGCAGACACACACACACACATACGTGCAGACACACACACATACGTGCAGACACACACACACACATACGTGCAGACACACACACACACACACATGCAGACACACACACACACATACGTGCAGACACACACACACACATACGTGCAGACACACACACACACATACGTGCAGACACACACACACACATACGTGCAGACACACACACACACATACGTGCAGACACACATACGTGCAGACATACATACGTGTACACACACACACACGTGCAGACACACACACACGTGCACACACACACACACGTGCACACACACACACACGTGCACACACACACTCTCCAGACAGTACACACACACACGTAGACACACACACACGTGCACACACACGTGCGTTCTCAAGACAGTGCACACACACCACCACGTTACCGGTAGCTCGTCGCATTGCAACAACGCACCGCGGTTGTTGTTGTTGTTACAATGGCTCTTAACGCAACGACACAACCATTACCACATTATCTTTTGTTAGACCACACGCAGAACGTACGGTGTACACGAGTCGAGTACGCACACAAAGCATCGTACCGGCCGATTACATTTAACGCGTCGACTGCAGACAATGACTTTTGAGTTTTTTTACAAAAAACATAAATGTACCGGTGGATTTAGAGTGTACAGCGGAAACAATGTTGCCTATAGCGTGACGTTTCACCGCATCACATCCTCGCGATGCACAACACACACCCCGGTGGTGGTGGTGCTGGGATCACATCGAGACCGGATACAATACACCGGCTCAGACAAAGCTCCCCCGTGTAGCCTCGAACAGACTGCAGGGGCAAGTGCGAACATGAAGACTGGGGCTAGCTGGGTGGGTGGGTGGACAGCACCACGCCCTGACCGCCTTTGTCTCTCCCCCCCCCCCCCCGATACTGACATTTTACACACAGCACTAGCTGATTTAAGGCCGAGTCAACCTAGGGGAGGCCCGGTTCGGTTAAATCGTCACCGGCGTTGACACACACAAGGCACGTACAGAGTTCACACAACGTGTAGAAACGTACAACAATACATTAAGCGGTGTGTCTATACACACACGCACTTAATCAAAGTGTTACAAATGTATAGATCGGACAGAATGTATCATCAAGAGGGCTACAAGCGGCGTGGATGACAATACAGCAATGTTGGTAACGCACGCACGGTCCTGGGGTAGCGAATGTACGGCGATGGTGATGAACCCCCTTTCTTCCTTACCAGTTGTCCTGCATCCATTCAATAGCCTCCGCTTCATTGAAGACCCTTTCGAACTCGTATTCTTGAAGAGAAATGACTGACATCGTAACGCCGTGCGGGTGGGGAGGAGGAGGAGGGGGGGGGTCGCTTCGTCACCAACGCAGAAAAAAAGAGACGTGAGATTTGAAATTTGAAAAAAAAAATTGAATTTTTTTGTTAAAGAAATTAAATTTACAAACACTAAAAACTGCCCCCCCCGGCCCCCAAAAAAAATTAAGCGCCGAGTACGACAGCCCCCCCCCCTACTTCTTCTCTCTGCTATAAGCGATGCCACGTGCCCGCCCGCCCTCCCGCGTGCGCGAACAATTTTTAAACAGCAAATGAGAAATTGCCTGGCGACTTTAGCGTAGCGACATATACATAAATGTATTTACTGCGTGTTAAATGAAAGCCGAAAGAACGTCGACGGCACAAGCGAGAGAAAGAGAGACGGGGGGATGGATGGCGGCGGCTGTGAATGTCTCTGTTAGGGGGGTAGTGGTGGTGGTGGAGGAGGAGGGGTGGGGGTGGTGGTGGCCGCACTTCCTCGAGAAATCCGCAAAGAAAATCCTCCCTCGAGTGACGGGGCGAGAGGCGCGCCCAATAGCACGCTGCTTATATACTCGTGGGCGATACCATTGCTAACACTTGTGACGGGGGTGTTCACGTTCGAACATCCCACCCCTGAACAATATCACTCGGGGTTGACACTCGAATGAATCCACGGGCACAATTTCACAATCACATGTTGGAATCTTTCATTTGCATCACACGAGGTTCGTTTTGAAGATCGATGGGGGGAAGGGGAGAGACGTGGGTGGGGGGGTGTTGGAAACAGGACGCATATCGCACCCCGCACAGCCACTGGCCGGGCCCCGCGTGTTGGTCTCTTCTGACACAGTCAAGAAACAGAAAAAAAACATTCTGCGTCTTCTTCCTCTTCCTGCTGCTGTTACTCCTGCTGCTGTTGCTCCTGCTGCTGCTGTTACTCCTGCTGCTCCTGCTGCTGCTGTTACTCCTGCTGCTGCTGTTCCTCCTGCTCATGCTGCTGTTCCTGCTGTTCCTGCTGCTGCTCCTCCTGCTGCTGCTGTTCCTCCTGCTGCTGCTGTTCCTCCTGCTCCTGCTGCTGTTTCTCCTGTTGCTGCTCCTCCTGCTGCTGTTCCTCCTGCTGCTGCTCCTCCTCCTGCTGCTGTTCCTCCTGCTGCTGCTGTTCCTCCTGCTGCTCCTCCTCCTGCTGCTACTCCTGCTGCTGCTGCTCCTCCTCCTGCTGCTGCTGTTCCTCCTGCTGCTGTTCCTCCTGCTGCTGTTCCTCCTGCTGCTGTTCCTGCTGCTGCTACACGTGGGCATTCCTTGGGACGGCTCTACGCTGCTGCCGCTGCCTCGTTTGGCTCGGGGCGAGGTGTGGCTCTGCCACGCAACATCGCGTCCGCCACAGACACGTGTGTGCTCGTGTGTTCGTGTGAGCCTGTTGGTCGCCAGGGTGAAAGTATTCAACAAACCCCCGACACCCCCTCCATCTCGCCCTTAAGCGATACGCAAAGAATTCGGACTTGGGGATTAAACCCGAAAAAAATGATTTTGTTGTTGTATGACATTGCTTGTATGAATGTAGCGGCCTCTAGTGGGTGCCGGTCACGTTAAGCCATTATACTGGTAGGAACCTCCTGGTTACACCAGCCCACAGGGGGATTATTGTGTCCGTCCGTCCGTCGTGCATCCAAATATGGGAGGGGTGGGGCTGGGTGGAGAGGGGAGGGTGGGGTGGGGTGAGGAGGGGCTGGTCACCCCGTGGTGCCCTTATAAAACTCAACGTTTAACCTACTCACGCCGACTTGTGCCCGCCCTCACAGTCGGCCATATTTGCGGAATACACCACGCCGCCGTTGACCATGGCCATTGACCGAGCAACCCATCGTTCCTACCAGCTCCATCCGCAGGAATGTGTTATAACGTGCACGAAACTGAAAACATTCGATGTTTCGATGCGTGCTTGCGACGTGAGCTTACGTATCGATGTCAATTATGAATTGCTACTTTAAAAACAAGACATGTGAGGTGTTTCTCCGATTAATTTTCTTCGAATTTTGCTATCGGCGTCACGCCGTGCGACACAGAACCCGTTCGGATCCCGCAAGAGGAGTGCATCCCTCCCGTGTTCGAGAACAGCCCACGGAAGCAGATGTCACAGAGCTAATATCAATATCCCTTCAAGTGGCACTTTGGCCCACTATACTGTGGGAGAGTAATGTTCGTCGTGTGAAAAAAAACCCGAATATCTTCAATTCCCAGAGCTGTAATTCAGGCAAAGGAAGTTACAGAATCACGTGTGATGTGATCGGGTGTATTTGTGTGTGCAAATCTGGCACTGGTGACAGATCTGAGAAACATCATCTCTGTGGCCACCCGAGCCAGGCATTGAACCATATCGCGAATAGCTGCATCCGACGGCCGCTCTTCGGCAGACTGCGCAGTACTAGTCGAGCAACTCCCGAAGCTATGTAATGGCTCGCAGACCTAAACTTGGACTGTGATTTCCACATACTTGCCATATGCTCGAGAAATAGAGAGAGAATGGAGAACCCGGTTTAATCACAGGCAGCTTGCATAGATTCGAACCCATGGCCTCTAGCGGTTGGGCCAGCTAAGCACTCTCTGACCTCTAAAAAACCCGACCATCTCACGAATCGATCGTGAACCCCCCTCACCACCCCCCCCCCCCAATGTACAGGTGATATGTGCCGTAGCGTGTGAAATGAAATTTTATTTTGTGATCAATAACCACTCAAAGCTGCACTGTTTCTATACGAGGAGGATTACACTGCCCAATAAGTGCTTTGGCTAATAAGTGGTTTAAACTATACAGCGCCTTTAAAATATATATGTATATCTTAAAATAGCCTTTAAAAGGTAAGGGATTACTGTCGGAAAATGAGATGAGCACAATGAACACATGGATAAATACTGTAAATGCTTGGAAATATTTTAAGAAGCCGGTATATAAAACTCCGTTAACACATCAGTGACCAGCATGTAAATCACGGGAACATTATTACGGTATGGTTTCTGCATAAAGACGAGACTTTGCCTAACTGGTGCCTAATTCATTAGACTGAAGTGACCTTGTCGATTATCTTGGACTCCAAGATTACTTGCTTTCAATTTTCTCTTATCACTAAATGGCACATTCCATAAGAGTGATAATGCATGGGTTCCACAATTCAACTCACAATAAAAATAATAGTAATCATTAACTACCCTTTTTTTCAATTCACTGCCGGATGAAGGTCATGGGAGTTGTTTGACCATACTTCACCATGCTGGTTAACAAGGGTTGGTTAAGATAGGGGGAAGGGATCCAGGACTGATTCTGATATTTCTCACCACTCGGAATCACAATGTGCTCAGCACAATATCACCGTACAAAAATTAAACATGCATGTGAGAATCGATGCGTTCATCTTGGTGGCTGCCTAGAAACTGTCAATCAGATTCTGAAAAAAAGCTAATGAATGTCAAAACACCATTATGCACACCCTATGTGTACTCTGAAAATTGTATTTGGCTCAATGGATATTCATGCACTCATTCAACCTCTCGCAAACTACGTGTGAATGATATATAATTACTTTACAAAAAATTGGAAGGGCTCCACTAAGATTGCATGTGGCAAGTAATGGCTTACTTTAGACAATATTTGAAGGGGAATCTTACAAGGTTGACGCGCTTATTCGCAGCGACGTGATAAGATGTTTTCTGAACATTGCATCATACAGGACTAGACGTAAATGGAGAGCATATCAACCGTATCAGATTTAGCGATGACATAGGCATTATTCTAAAAATTGGAAATTAACTATGGAAAATTGTTGGAAAACCTAATAAAGGAAGGCGTGTCATGTACAACCAGTTCGCTAAACAACTGAAGATATCTGCTGCTGGGACATAGTTGGGAAACGCAACAGAGTGTGTACACCAAGGGCAGCTATTGAAGGTGGATCACAGTCAACACGGTGACATGGTGGTTGAGAAGAGCAGGTTGAAGTGATTTGGGAAAATGTACTTTTTTAAACGTGCTCCAGAAATAAATAAATAAATTTCAACCAGTGCACATCACCTGCTGTGACATGTGGATCTGAAACGTGGACAAGTGACGAATATAATTAAACAATCTGAAAAGTGTGAATAGGCATCGAGGGGCACATGCTTGGAATTTGACTGAGACAGATAGATGAACGCATGTCCGTGAACATACTCAAGGTCGAAACATCACGTTTACTGTTAGCAAAAGTGGCTTGGACCAGACACACCGCTAAAATGTATATTTTTACCAGGTAAGGCCCACTGAGCTTTCTAGCTCTTTTTTTTCAGAAGCGATTTGGCCACAAATTATATCTCAACGAAGTAGCTAATCACGTGGAGATTTAGAGCAGACAAAAACTCTAAACGCACGTTTCGGAATGTGAAAGGAAAAACTGGAGGACCCGGAGAAAAATCCACGCGACCACGGGGAGAAAAATTACATGTAAATTAAAAATATACAGCAGGCGTCAGGTCGGGATTGAACCCACGACCTACTGTCTACCAGGCGAGGTAATTAACATCACGCCACCGTGGCTGGTAGTCGAGACTAACCACTAACTGGCAATCAAAGGAAGGGAAAACACCGAAAGCACCTCAACCACGGGGATGGAGGGATGAGATCAGCTCGCGTGCAGGAGCGAGATGGATCGTGGAATTCTATGACCAAAAGGGATTGCGGCGGATTGGGAAGACCATCATTCAGCAGTGGATAGATCATGGCTGGTGATGATTTGTGTCTGTATCATGGGTTCACGTGAACTTTTCCACTCACTGCAGGCCACTACATCCACCACAATATAAAAAAGACACTGACTTTTGACTTAAAACGTTCGTGAAAGCAGGAATTCGTATTCAATCTATGCGACTTTACCGAAAGAACCAAGAATCAGGCACTGACTGTTGAATACACAACCATCGCAATTCATCGCGATGGTTGTGAACCATGACTCCGCGCCTCAGGGTCGCTGTCTTCGGGCAAGTACAAATTGTGCGCGTTACAATTTTGCATCATTATTGTTATTAATTGTCTTTGTTTGAACCATAAAAGCCTCATTGTGTTTCTGG